TATATATATATATGTTAAATCTGTTTAAGGTGAACTAAATCAAACAACATTACAACATTAAAGCAGAAGTCAAGGCACTAGAAGAAAGACATACAGGGTTATTCACAAAAAGGTGGAGAAGGCAAAAGAAGTGAACAAACTAGCACAACATAGCTGAACTGGAAAGTGAACTCGACTGAGCATATGCCTTCAGCTCGACCAAGCTGCCCGGCCGACTTCGGGAGCTGTACGGGCTATAGTGAATAGCCCGAACAGCAGCCCTTCGGTTCTGCTGAACCAAAGGGGTCCTGGGGCCTAAGCTAGCCGAAGGATCAGCCGAAGCTATGGCTAGATCCTTCGGCAGCTTAGTGAATAGACCCCTTAGTTTATTCAAGCAACTTCCTTATTTCAAATGAGTGTCAGGAACATACCCCAGCATTTATAGTCACATGAAGGGATATGTCAGGGCAGATGTTGAGTGTCCGAGAACAGGCTGAAAGGTGTAAGAAATATGTGGAAAACCTTACTTTAATGACATACTCTACATCCTTGGTACATGGCTGAAGATGTGAATTGTCAGATCACCAAGATAGTAATGTTCAAATAGCATATGTGGTGCAATTTAGTGGAATGCAGACTAGTACATTGGGGAGATAAAACAACCTCCTAAAAATGGATGGGCCAACATAGGTGGATGAACACTGCAGGTCAGGAATTAGCCCTAAGGTTTAGTTTTTTCTTCCAAACAGTGCATCCAAAATCAACCACTGATCAACAATGCTTTACATTCAAGATTTAGTACTGAATTCAGTGTTTTGTCTGGCATTCTCTTTTAAAGCCCAACTGATCATGATATTGTAATTATTAAATATTAATTTTATGAATAATTAATTATTTGAAATCTACTAGCATGCTGCAGCCTTTATTAAAATTCTCTGTGCCAGTAACATGCTGGAGATCTGAACTACTGCTCATCAATCGCATCGGTCTGATTCTCCAGTGGTCCAAAGTTCCCCCCGCACAAGGGGGAGCTGTTTTGGTGAGTCAAACACTGTGCAGAGGTGTTTTCGGAATGCTGGAGATCTAAACCAGTGTATTCTGTGTTCAGCAGAGGTCCGGATCTCCAGTGTGCTGTGGGTTCAAGTTTAACAAAGGCTACAACACACAAGTAGATTAAAAAAAATAAAAACCACTATCTAAACTTTTTCTATTTCTGCATCTTGACTGCATTAAGATAATAGAAATGAAAGGTTCATTTGAGCTTTGAGTCATATTGTAACGTACTTCGATGAAATTGAAAACTCAATGGTAAAGTAAAAATGGTTAACAGTATAATAGGGGAACCTACACAGTATCTGAAGTTTATATTTTGTCTTCCCTGGTTTCAGTACAGAAGAGTATTCTGTACAACCATGCAAGACTGAAAGTAAGGTTGGAGAGATTAAAACAGTTTGCTAGCTGCAAACAGAGACTTTGTTATGTCCTTACATGAACCTGTACTTGTTTTTGTGGCTCTGATGCCAAAAAAAAGCTGAAAGATCTTTTGTTCCCTCTTTTTCTAAAAATGTAGCTTTTACAGGCTGACAGGCTTGATATTTCGTTTATTAATTGAGTTATGCAAATGCTATCTTGTTTCACAGAAAAAAACTACAACTGAACATTTCATAATGTTAAACAACACTTTAAAGCAATCAAAGTAGTCAATATGGTTTTCGTCCGAGAAACTCCATTTATTCCAAGATCAAACGATATTTCGGACGACATGTCAAGTCTCTAATGGCATTATCAAATGTCCTAATCACAGAAAAAACATATAAACAGCGCTCTCGGATGGGCAACAAATTAGCTTAGAGGCGTGTGTGCAGCCCTGGAAAACAGGAGGAGAACCTGTGGATTGTAAATATTCAAAAAACCAAGAAAGGGCGCAGAGAACACTGGCTAGTTAGTGTTCTCTGCGCCCTTTCTTGGTTTTTTGAATTTTTCAAATGTCCTAATGAGTTTTTTGGTATAAAAGTTATTTTGATAATCTACCAATGTACACCCAGCTTAAGTAGGGCTGAAACTCACCAGCACACCAGTAGCATTATGTTGGCCTTATTTAAAATGGGGGTAAAACCCTGCAAAAAAATTGCAATAATAACAGTGTTAAACCTAATACTAAAAATGGTACAAGCAGTATCAGTACAAGATAAGTAACAATTTAACGAAAAAAGTAGCCTTAAAAGAGAACTAAATGGGATGCAACACTCAACATGGCCTATCTTCTGTTTTAAGGTTAAGGTTTTAACAAATCCATTGGTCAAATTCTAATACAATCTGTTAGATAAAGGAAGCTGAGTTATAACCAACTCATTACAATTAATCAATTTAAACGTCATGAATAAAATCCCTAGTAAATGAATAACATATGCATAGTGAAATTAAGTAATGTAGACTTTTGTTTCTCTGTAACATGCCCTCATTGTACTGAAATCCTAAACACTGCAAGTAGCATGTCTCCCCTTCTTTTTGAGTTTAGGGGATTTGTCAGCAAATGATTACATTTTTCTGTCTGTCTGACACTCTCATAATTCATATTTTATATTGTTATACTTATTTTATAATCAAAGGTGTGTACTACATTGGATATAAAGGTTTAATTCGCTATACTTTCATTTCACTGCTTGGTATTTTAGTTGTGTAGAATGTTGTGGGAATCTTAGCATATATGGAATATATAGTTGATTTTAATATTAAGCAATATGCAAGAGAGGTTATTCAGTAAAGCAGTTCAAAGTACAGTAACAGTATAATTGTAGTCATAGTAGCTCACATGCCTGCTATGGGGCCTGGAAAAATTAAACATAGAAAATCTTTGTGCAGGTGAAGAAAAAACAGATTCAGCATCATATCATTAAAGGTTGGAGAGATTACTATTGACACTGATTCCTGTGAAGTCTCCAATCTAGAAGAGTAAACATAAGATGTGCATGAGGAGTCTTTAGGATCCTTGCTGGTCCCCCTTGCTTTCTGTGCATTACTTGTTTAGCTCTTTTAAAAGTATAGATGTATTGCCTTCTGAACCTCTGCTGCAGCCCCTAACCTGTGCTCTGCAATTAAACCTGTATGCCTATTGCAGTCTTCTTCAGTCTGATAAAAAATCCTAGAATGTTTCCTCTAACTTTTGTAGTTCTGCAAAAAAAAAAGCCAGAGTTTAAGAAATTATGTAATGATATAAACTATCCTGATGGTTATTATTATTCCCACTATGTTTTTTTACTGACTACCAGGAGACCTCTTCCAGCACTGTCTTATTGTGGTGGTGGAATGGGTAGAATGGCTAGAATTAGAACTAGAATTAAGTTAGTTTGCACTTGCATTTGACATCAGTTAAAAACCCTTCAAAGATCATTCACAGTTTGACAGGTACATTTGACCTATTTATAAACTGCGTCAACTTGCTCTGAGCTACTTTGCATTGACTTGTATGGGAAGAAAAGCAGTTGTCAGGCAAGTAAAACCCATTAATGTCTTAACAGCTGTGAACATTAAAAAATATATATTTATAATATACT